CCCCAAAACCCCAAAACCCCAAAACCCCAAAACCCCAATTACCATTGATTTCAAATGTTAAAAGAGTTGAATAAAAATTTAAAACTCTGAAATTTTATATATAAAAAACAACTAAAATCATTTTATAAGTCCGTTATGATTATCTTTCTTTCTGAAGGTTTGTAGCATGATGTTTCTAATTAAATAATAATTTATGAAAACTGCGCTAAAACTGTTAGACATCACAACTTTAATCTGACTTTTTTGCTTCTTCACTATTTCCAATATTTTTTTAAGTATCTGTGAATCTTAAGCGAGCTTTAATTTTCTAGCAAGTATCACAAGTCTTTAAATATAAACTTAGCCTTCTTGCTGATCAAAAGTTAGCATTATAGAGTCAAGAACTTGATTAATAATCTCAACGCTCCTCTCAATTTCATTTTAATGGTAAGATTTTTGGAAATTAAGCTTTATAACTCTAAGAGTACGAATATTACTTGTGATAAGACTTGTTATATCATCAATTAATCCAGAAGAATAATCCTTAGTCTCATTGAATTCATGATAAAACTCTTTAAGATGACCATTTTTCCATAAAACCTTTTTAATCACATTCTAGTAAAACCAATCATTTTTCAATATATAGGAGTAAACGTTATCAGCACTTTAAAACTCAAACTGCTCTAGTTATTAGCTCTCATTCTATTGTAAATATTAAGGATTAAAGAGACTTTCTAATGCCTGCATTTTAATGTTTAAAGTTCTAAATTTCCTTAATTGTTTAAATTAGCAGTTCTCGAAAAGCTCTTTAGGATATTTCAAAGATTTATAGTTTGGAGTGTAAATCTCAATTTCTTAAAGTTAGTCTGAGCTATGTTATAAAAACAAATTTAGATGTAGCTGTAAAGTATCAGCAGGTAGAGCTACAATTAGTGACTGTAGTTTGATATTGCTATTAAGGAGTGGTTTATAAATGCTCATTTATCTTTTATTGCATTCTAGATGCTTAATATTTTTTAATAATGGAAATAGATCATCTATTGTAGTTCGATATAGCTCTAAACTTCTCAAGACTAATCTTTCCAAAGAGTTAAAAGCTATTTGATCTCTTGAATATACCAATTATTAAAACATATCTTAGCCTAACTATCCATCAAATGTTAGAGCCTTGATTTTATGAAGTTTTGAGATTTCTGTGGAAACTATGTTTTCACATTCCCGTTTCAAATATGTGCTATCAATTTTAATTGTAAATTCCTCTATTTCATCTTGTAGAATTTCTAAGACAGTTCCCAATAAATTAATAGATCGATCTCTATTCTCTTGAGTTAAGAAGCATTTGACTTTATATAGATTTTTTGTTGATCTTCTTGAAAAGAATGATTCTAACTCGCTCAAATCAGAGCATTTAATATTTTGAATTCTTAAATCTCTTAAAAAAGAAGCAATATGATCATAGCAAACTCTCTTATTTAATAGTCGTAAATGTATTTTTTATTTAGGCTAAAGGTATTCAATAATGAGTTTGAATGCTTAAGAATTTGTAATCCTTTTCTTTAGCATTTATTATTACTAGCTATCTCTCAATACCCATGAATTAAATGCTTCATTTTCAGCCTATTCAGCATCATCTGTACTATATGAATTAAAAATGATCTCAACTATAACCTTACAGCTATTGCTACTAAAAATCTTCTAATTTTTCCATTTTTAAAATAATTTAAAGCTTTACATAAAATAAAAAATCCAAATTTAAGTGTCATGGGGTTTTGGGGTTTTGGGGTTTTGGGG